TACACATGAACAAAGTGGAGTATTTATGAGATAATGTGTGATCCATCCTACATGTGATCAATCTATAAATAGAATAAAAAATGCTCTAGTAAAAACAGTAACAATAGAACAACGAGCAAAATTGATTTAATAATATAAAATAGTATGACTTAATAGAATGATCGATTGAACAGTGTTTACTGAAATAAAATAGTTTAGGTGTTCAACAGCTCAGTGTTGGCTCTGACAAATAGAGCTTCTGGTCAGGGGAAAATCCGTTGCATCAATCAACCTTTGATACAGCCGTGGAGGTCTGGCTCAGTAGAGGAAATCTCTAGTTTCAGCCTTATTTAGGCTATTTCGTATTCCGGGTTCCGATTCAGAAGTACTACTATAAGAGTGTTTCTGTTTAACGTGTTGGGTTTTGTAATTTCCGCGTGACGAATTCTGTATAGCCAACGTTTGCTTGACCTTAACACTTAACACAATTCCCCCAAAAGAGCGGCGTTCAGGAGACATACTCTATTCTCAATCTATATTTGACTTTTTCCAAATACCCTGTCACCTTATTTAGACAAAGATAAGCTTTTTTTTTTTCTCATCGTTATTCTAATAATTGTCTTACTGAACAGTGTTTCAATAGTATACGCATAAATGTTTTTGTTCGTTATTACTTACAGAGAAAATTGTCTGCATGTTCAAACTTGCATACAAAAAAATGATCAATAGGCAACAACAATCTCCCACAAACTGGTGATCGTATAAACGTTTTTATTCAGTACAATTATTTCTAAAGCTATTTGTAATCATTGCACTGTCACTGATATGCTCGACAATACGTACATTCTACTTAATCTGTCTTTTTGTATCTATCTCGCTTTTTCTCATTTACACGGGAAATGAATTAAAATTATAGCAGACAGGATTGTAAAGAGATATACTAAGAGGGTTCTATTTGAGCCAGTAACAGTCCGCGATAAACACGTAAGTGCATTGATGGCTCAGTAAAATTTTAATCAAGCCTGTTCTACATCCTACAGTGGCGTACGTTTCGCTAGCTAGGTTTCATCCTTCTTGAAACTTTCTATAATGGGCAAATTTAAGTGTTCTGGTAAAAGAAAGATATCGTTAAGCCCGTGTTTGTAGCGGTCACGTTTAGGTTCATGTTGAACTTAAATTATCATACTGGCTCCTTGTGATGTTTGATGATGCGAAAGGTCCCCGAGCGATTCGCGTTATAAGTGAAATAGATCCTTCAACACACGATCCTGGATCACCTTACAATCAGCTACTATATTTGAATAAAGCTAGGGGAAAGGGAGTGGATAAAATTGCAATTATGTTGGATTTATCAATAATTTTCATAGCGTTTCTTTAATGTTCTTGTAAAGATAAAAAAAAAAAAACTGTACATTTAGGAATACTCAGAACCGAGGCGATTGCTTCTCCACCGTGTGGGATTTCGAAATCGAAGGGTCGCAAATTATTCTATCACTCCAAATATTTAACCAAAATCTGGCCTGCAAATGCACTTTCCGATGAAAAGAACCACGTTTTCCTTCGTGGCAACGCGTCTCGTTGTCATGTAGGTGGTTCCAGATTTACTTTCTGAACTACGCATCATTGTGCGGTTATCGAATACGCGATGACATTTACCACAACGTTAAATTTTATAAACATATATAGAACAGGTTAAGTACAGCAGGTACCAATCAATGATTGCTCGTTGATTATAGCAGGAAACGTCGCTGACCGTTTGCATTTCGGATAGTTCAATTTCTGCAATAAGGACCTTGTCCGAGAATACAATGCATTAAAGATCCGGTTCGAGAATTTCCGTTTTTCGAACGCACCTCATACGTTCTGAGAAAAAAAAAAAACAAAAATAGAGACGCTACTAAAAAGTGCACCAATTTTCTACGTATCTCACATCGTAAACTGATCAAGTAATAATAACAATAATTAGAGAATAACGAGTTTAGAGACAAATGAATGTTCAGTGATTAGGTTTTATTTCTTGGAGATTTAAGCGCTGCTAAGATGCATCAAAGATCGTGACAACGCTGGACAATGAAGCCTCCAGTAAAATAAGAGTTCGTTAATGGCAAAATTGTTCTAACAATGGCAATGAGAATATTTAAGGTCACAGAGGATCTCAATCGGAAGGATTAGCTGCCGTGATCACGGAAGATTTTGACAAAAACGAACATCCACTGTCGAATCAATCAATCTAGGATTTCTGAAATCATTAGTTATCGAATATGGAAAAGAAAATCCCAAAAATGAGTTCTTCACAAATTGACCCAACGCAGATGGGAACACGTGTGGAGATAATTTACGTAGCTATCGTCAGCCAAAGACCCATATCGAGCATATGTTTGCGATAGACGAGACCGGCTCAGTGTGTATCGGTAACCAGCGTCAAATAAGGTAAAGACCAACTCCGGTGGCAGTGCCGAATAGACTCTGATGCAAGCTGATACCAATATTGGCAATAGATGTAGGGTTGTTTGTTACTACGAGACGTTTCCTGACACGAAAACAGTCGATTCTGTTAGAGGATTCTCGTAGGACCTTATTGGCTTGTCGTGCAAAAATTGACAATATGTAACATAGTTATTTACTATTTTATCGTCACGCCTTAATTACATCTTTGATAAAAAAAAAAACCCGGGATAATGCTACGATCTGAGCTCTGATATCCCTCAAGTCGAAGTCCAGTTGCCATAGGTAACGTAGAAAGCCAATTCCCTCAAACGAGCCATCATAAATGAGATTAGGCAGGAAACAGCCAGCTCTCTGGAAGTTCTAATGTATCGCATATTAAAATATAATTTTTTCCACTTAAATTTTATGAAGGTTTTAAATTTATGAAAACGTATCACATGCAAGTGCTTACAAATTGATTTCTTATCAATTACAATTGACCGTATTTATTTAATATACATTTACTCACACAACTGAGCCACTTCAATTCGAATAAATCAAGTTTGCCTTTAGGCCTATTAAGAAAATTTGAATGTTTTCTAATGATCAGTGAACGCAAACGTTAACGATCCTTCTTTCATCTTGCGGCCTGCGGGAAGTCATGTTACCCTGCGACAGGGTTTGTAACAGTTGTGCATGGGAATATTTTCTAACTACGTCCATAAACGGGTTAAAAAGAGAGCTAAAGGTTTCATTGGCGTCCGCCAAGTTTTCTCGGCGTAGGCTGAGTGAAAATGCTTGACAGAATATCTGAAATGGCTAACTACTGCTGTTATACTACCATCTGCCGCCTTGTTAAAGACGTGGGAATCTCTCTGAGCCGGTGTCGACGTTCTACAGTTCATGCCGTGAACGTTTGAACTTGACTGAAATTTGTTTTCCATGCAATCAGCTCCGTTGCTTAACTCAAGCAGTGACACCAGTGGTCGGCTTTCGTTCAGACATAGTGAGCCGGCTACTCACGGAACTTTCAAGCCATAATGCAGGGAATAGGAATGGTACCTAAATTGTCGATATTGGAGGTTCTGTATAGGTACCAGAAAAACTGTTATTGCTATCGCTGAGAAAACCAATACGCAGTTGACCGATCACTGTAAAAAATGATAGCGTCTTCACCTACTCTGATGGAAGTTGATTTTTAAACGAATAATTTATAACAATAAATGATAAATAGTCTATAATTCCGTTTCAGTCTCTCAGTTAAATGTCTGTGTTATTCTTGGATACTATTAGATAGATAACTCATAGGAAAGTCTCTATAGGCTAGGATAACAGGGGCGATATGGTTTTAGTGAAAATGCAGGAACGACTGTTTCGCATTTTCAAAAGCAGATCTTCCTGTTAAACGATATTATCACTTTCGATCTCTATGAGTTGACGGAATCAGAGATTGCTGAATTGGAACTGAATTCTGTCATACTTTATTTACTGATAACAAGCTTATGACCTTAAGTATCACTTATATTTTCCCGTCATCTTACTAGCCGATCGTTTTCCTTAAAACAAAAACATAGATAGCAAGATCATATTGTATCGAACTGCTCCAATTCTCGTAGAAAGCATAAGCTTGAATCAACATTGCACTACGCTAAGCTAATTACTTAGTCATAATAGAAAAGCACTGGATGTTACCGATGTTATTCTTGCTGATGGTACCTTGGACGGAGATCCTGATTGGAGTCCATGGATGTCCTCATATCTAATGAGCAGGATTTACTGGCGGTGCGAAATTATTACTTGAGTGTATTGTAAAATAATGGATAAAAATAAAATTTATTCAGCCGAGCTCCTTGACGCTAGCTAAATTTGAGCCTTATTTACTGACGCTCTGTACATATATACGGTGTTCGAATAGTCAGATAGCTTCAATGGCATAAATAATGGCTCGACGTAGGCAATGCATAAACGAAAACTTTCTCTAGCAAATTCCATTGGAAACTTGGCCGTGAATCGCAAGCCTGAAACATCGGGCTAGAAATTAAATAATAAAGTTGCTTATGGAACAACTTATCTGTCTTTGTGTGTTTGTTCTCGTCACACAGCGAGGTCTTCAGTAGTCTAGCTAGTATTTCAATCTGCGTGTCCTTTGAACAAATCACTGTACAATACAAAGGCTTCATAGGGACGCTGCTCCCTAAAAGGCCATCAATCGGCAATAGCGAACAACAGAAACCACGTTTCACTGAGCTAAAGTGACAGTTAACGCTCATCTGAAACCCCGCCGGTAGACAGTGACGTCTTGGCTGCAGCATGGCGCCTGGCGGGATGGAACCAGAACCGACACGCGTTTACATCAAGCACAAATCAAAACATAGAAAAAGTTGACGACCAGAACCGCGGTTCGGGTATGGGAGACAAAGTGAGGGTTGTGTATCCCACCTCGCTGCGCGGCATCAACCGCAACTAGAGGCTACCAGATCTGGTGGCCGTACACAAGCGGATAAGTGTTGAACAGTGGGTAAGACGACAACTATCGACCCCCTACCCCCCAAACACGTGGTATAAATGTATCAGGCTGATGCTGGCAGGACATCGTCGGCAAGTAGCCAAATATCAACAACAGCGATGGTATGGAGTGCGCTAAGCATACAAGCCTTGAGAGATCGTTTAGAAAAATAAGATTTTTGGCGTAGCTAACGCTCCATGGATAACTGGTAGGACTGATAACTATTGGCATTCGCGAAGCCGTTGAGAAGCTTCATACGAGTCGCCAGTGAAATCTCGTTATAGTTTCAAAAAGCGAAGATGGGGTTTTGAGTGAGGAAGTGTTGATGGTTTGGATACTGCCAATGGTGCTGATTGGATACATATCTCAGTGAGATTCAGATTCACATATATTGGAAGAGTGATATTGAGATATGCTTTTGCCGTACGGGGATCAATGGTTTGTCCCCTTTATGATAGATAAAAGGACATGTTCGACATAGCTCGCTAGTACTTTGAAATTGCTTACTTTTGGATTGTCATTTTTTTCACAGCACGCCCTGGTCCTGTTTGCTTTTGCTGGACTAGCCCTGGCCCAGTACCAGGACGAAAACTATGGGCCACCTCAGCCATTTGACTTTTCGTACACATCACAAGATCTTGACGGCTCCCACTCGCACAGCCAGCAGGGAGATGGAAACGGCCGTATCACTGGCGAATACGCCATTCAGCTGGCTGATGGCCGATCTCGGACTGTTAGGTAACAACTAAGTTTCCTTACTTGTTTTAGTCAACTTTCTCTAAGTCATTTATGACTCATAATCAGCTTTTTTATAATCAAATTTATGACAAGTAATCAACATCACACGAAAGCATATTTAACAGATACTCTTATTCTTAAACCTTTGGCATTTTTACTTTCATCGATAATCGTGATTAGGCCTTGTTAAACTTCTTACTCAAAACACAGGTACACCGCTGACGAGAACGGCTATCGTGCTGATGTGATTACCAATGAGCTCGGAACTGAAAGTAAGAATCCTGCTGATGTTACCATCCAATCGTCTGCGTTCACCGGAGACCAGGCGGCATATCAGGCGGCTTCGTCAGAATTCCGTCCCGTCCACGTCCGGTTTTAATTTTCTATACCTATCTACTGTAATAGAGCCGTAGTTGCTAAAGGCTGATGTATGATCGCTCTCTCGCACCATAGTGTATCGTATGAAGGAAGACGGTTGTCAGCAGCGCCCTGTTAAAACTTGTCCGATCCCGTTATGTATCGTACTTCAATATGCCGTCAGCTGCCCAGAACGAAAGCATCTGCTGGAAAAAGCAAGCACATACAGATTTTCGCAAAAATCCCGACGAAGCAAAATCGGCGGTGTTTCAACGTGATTTAAGTAAAGAAAGACAAGTAAAGATGAACTCGGATGCATACTACACATTCATTATTTCGCTCCTTTCTTGTAAATATTTATCTATCCTTCATCTGACATTGTCGTCCGCTGATCAATGTTCTAATAAATCTTCTGTCTATACATGGATACTGAATCTTGTGCTGTTGACCTTTTAGTCTCCCTAATAATATCCCTCGATCGTAAGTAAAGTAGTTTTTTGTTGTTCTTACTGCGTTGCAATTTAACAAATACAAGATGACGCAAACAAACGAGTTCTTTAGTACACAATAGTTTCACGGATCTCAAGGTAGTGGAAGGGGAGTCTACACAATAATCTGACATGACTGATTACATAAGAGCTGCCAGCATGGAAGTTCAACAGCACGAAACCTGGATGAGATAGACTCGGAAAAGCTCTATTGTTGTAATCCCTAACTTCTGCGCAAAGATAAATAATATGTCAGATGACTTCCAGCCAGTTTTTAGTCGTCTTGGAAAATTCTCTCCCTCGGAAGAAGGTTCTCGCCATTAAACATAACCGTCGTCACGCTATATATATTCTCTCAAATCGTTTACAGTTTCTAGCAGGTAAAGAAGGACCATTCGAACTAGTTTCATAATCTCGTGTACTTTGCAAACTATATTCAGCTTTGATAATGAATGAATTCCTCATACTTCCATGCAAACTACTCTACGCCTGATCGAAGCGCTATGACAACATAAAACTGAATCGTTCTTTTAAGTTAACAGAGCGGTGACGATGATGGCATGGGTAATTCGAAGTTTTCACTGTATAGGAGGGGGCAATAGACAGAGCATTGTTACGTGTATTTTTCGCCAGACGGATCTCTGACCGCGTTCATCGCTCGTCTCCAGCCTTTTGGGAGCTCTTTAAGAGTTGAATAAAGTCGATTGTCACCGGCAGCAGCAACGGTCTTAAATGTGATGTTTTGCCATTGGAGTTTAAGTACAACCGCTTCAACGACCAGCTGATCGAACTGAAAAGCACGAGGGCTGTCTGAGCACAGCATAAGTTTGACAGAGGGTGGCCATTGTGGTGGCGGGACGTAAATATCGAATCAGTCTATGCTAAATTTTAGAACATTCAACATCAGCAGTGAAACGCGGGAAATCAAAAGGGAGCAGGGGCCTGTTTGCTAAGCGCGTCAGATAAACGAGGCGTGAAAAATACCCGTTCATGTATTTAGCGTCGGTAAGAGCCACTTACATATAGATCCAGTTTTTGGTAAAGTTTTGTCTTTCCATTCTATCAATGGATATTAGATAATATTGTAATTGTTAATGCCGGAATGCAAATCAACAGTCGCTAATTTAAATATAGTAATCTATTTATTATATATAGTTGTAAATATTTCATATAAGGGACACTTCATCTCATCGTCATAACCTGTTCCATTGTAACGGAACATCAGCGTAAAGCAATTGAGCAATCTTCTATTACTATTTCGTATGCTTTCCAGTCTCGGTGTTACTAATCAACAAACGCTGATGATTGTGATTACACAATATTGTCATGCAATCGTTCCCACCAAAAAGCTGTTGTATATATTACCGTTGTTGTTTATCTCGTACCCCGTCTGAGTTCCACCCTACACCTTTATTTTTCTCTGCAGCGTCAGTTATTTGCATAATTTCTGTAAATTGTCCACTCTGCCGTTGTTCCATCTTCTATCACTTTGTTGACCGTCTATCGGTTTCATAGTCTATCGGCCTGTTCGCCCGCGCCTTGCCAAGGTCGGCTGGCTCGGCATCACTGGCAATCACTTAGGCCGTCACCGCTGCTAGCGTCACCCCCACCGGGAGTTGCAGTAGTGGGGGTCAAAGGTGGCCCCCAATGGCTGTTGCCAATGTGGAATCACAGAACAACGCGAAAGTAAAATAAGATCACAGCCAAAAAAGGATCCATGCATTTGCTTTCTATGTAAATAAAACAGCTCACTAATAGTGCGTGGCAGAGCTGAAAGGGGCTGTCGGTTCCATTTGATCTATTCGCCCCTGTCCCCCGAGACTCAACTTCGATTTTTATAGAAGATCCTTTTTCTATGAATTTATACTATATATGCATCATCATATTGTAAACTGTTGGTATTATTGTGACTGTTATTATGTTATTGTTGTTACGCGCATGGGATGTGATGGTGCAGCTTGCCTAACGCTAGTGATTAGATATCTATTGTTATTCGTAAATGTCTGATAGTACCTGTCCTCGGAATTGTTTGGACGTGTTGAACTTTTGCTGTTTTTTTTTTTGCGAATAGAAACGTCTAAACAAATGGCTACATATCGTCAATTACTACGCTGCTAATCATGCCGTTACTAAGTGTACCTATTATCATTAATGCATAAAATACATGGTGGCGTAGGTTAAAGGTGAAAACCTGTTATTATATTTGTCAGGCTTAGAAATAGCCTGATAGTGATACGGCATCTGTAAGAAGGATCAGAAGCATCGATTTGCCTTCATAACGACCACAATACTACCGTATTTGCATGTAATTATAATTAGCTGCAATTTACAAGTCGGTCATGTCCGACATTTCCTAGAGAAGCGATAAATTAAACAAAATTTTCTGATCTAAACAGAAAGCGCCAAAAGTGGTAAAATTTAAAAAAATTAACATATCGTAGTGTTATTGGCCATTATTAGAAACGCTGACCTGTTCACCAATAGCCAGAATATATAACACGAGAGGTGTCGGGCAGGCAGAAAAATACGTATAAAGCGTTTATGTAATACAAACGTCTAGACTTGACGTAGACTGAATTTAGGCTACTCAGAAGAGATGAAAATGCGTCGAGGGTAAACTTAGTGATCAACACACCTTTGTTCCACTTAATTTCATTTTAGGTACATTACGTTAGTAAAAAAACCTTTAATACAAATTCAGGTTTTATATGTTTTTGAGAGGATACCCTCTCACTCGGTAAGTGGAACAGGACGTCAAAGCAATCCTGAATATCAAAAGCTGTCCATCGCAATGGAAGACGCGCGCTTTCATAGGTAACTTGTTTGTTTAATGTTAATAGCTATATTAATCTTTGTGAATAGACATTTGTAGAAAAGGTAAACAAGCCAATCTGCGCCTAAAGGTGTCCTTTACTATTTACAATGCGTTCGATGTTTAACATAGCTTTGCTCGAGTCTAAACATACACGATTGTCTTTTCGAACAGACTTTCGCTGATCCTCTTGCTAAATAGGAACTTTGTCAGAAAGTATTCCTAACTCCTATATCAGTACGTTGCGTTGTGAGACAAAATAGGCAACAGCATAAAGTTTTGCAAAAGTTTAATTTTACTATGACAACAACGTGCACAAAGCCATATATAATCGTCAGAGCTTGAAAGACTGAACGGTCGCGTTGCCCCTTAAGCGTTTCAAGCTTCAGCGATTGCCAAATAAATCATTATGGCGTTATGTGAAAACAAAAAGTTCAAAAAACCTCAGGGAGGTGCTCAGGGGGTATGGATGACTAAAGAGTGAAGCTTATGAATTCGATCAAAGCATTGGCAATGTTCCAATCCAGTTTTATATTTCTCAAAACGAGAACGACTGAAGAGTAGTTAGCCAATTGTTTTGTATAGCAAAATATCGCGAGAGGCCTGTACCATCTTGATACGCTGGTAAAGCTCACATAAAGGTGTCACGCTCGACAAATCGTAAACTCTATAGGAAACTATTGTACTGAGTGAGAACTGAATCAATCAATAGAATTATGTATCGTCGTGTTGAGAAATTACATGGGAAGTTACATTGAAATCAGATAGTAAATAGGTTAAAAGCAATCATTCTGATTACTGCTTGTGAATCTGTTTTTAAAAATCTTACTTCAGAAGACAATAAGGTCCATTGAGGTTCAGCGACAGAGACACGATAACTGTGGATAACTGCAAAGTTTAACAAAACGGCCCGTGAATCTTCTAAGAAACGTGCAGCGAAAACTTTAATTAACGCAAGTGTAAGCGTCGCGTGGATCGCTAAAACCTGCTGCATAGAATATGCCACTACTATATATTTCGCTGGTAAACGATTTGGTGCGTTTAGCTGATCAGGATACCTATGCTGGTTTTACGGTCTACGGTCAAATCATTAACGCTCAGGTGAATCAGCGACAGCGGACACCCTAGAACTTCAAAACAACTTACCCGATAGAAAACGCAACTAGCAAAATTATATCGAAAATAAGGTAGGGGCGTTTAAAAAAGTGTTGCAGGACAATGAAAGATATTAATATAAGGAACGATCTAACGAGCTGCATAAAGCGCGACGTTACGTAACTACATGTTTTGAATATACATAGGTTATATAATCAATAGACTGAAAAATATAGTGAAAATGAAAATTGCCGACTGGTCACTGGCATGAAGACCTATTGACAAATGCCCATTATCCTCTGCCACTTAAGGAAAAGCTTGCGTTTTCTTGAGAGTGAACGCCGCGGCACGCATTGAGCTTCAATAGAGCGCAGTCTCAGTTGCCGAGTTTACTATGAGCGGTTAAACGAACTGCAAGAATCCAACATCAGCGGTTACTATAGGACCCAATGGTAAACAGGAGCTCAATAAAGTATTTATTGGTCTGGTTGAATCCTTTCGATCGCCGGCCAAAAACTGTGCCGGAATTCATTGCATAATATAGCGAAAATTGATCGCTCTTCAGTAATAGCTTTATTTAAATGCAAAGAGGACGCCGGTTAACGCCGTTAACCTACGCAGTGCTGATTACGAAGATTATTCTTTAAGAGTGACTCTGATGATCCGCCGGATTCTTAAGACGTGTTTCCGAATTTCAAATCGAATGGTTACGCAGTAGCCTTTAAGCCAAAAGTCAACATTTTAAACTATCCCGTTGAAACTTTTCGGTCCACCGACTGGTGGAATAGCTGTTTGATAGTTTACTGCATTGCTTTGGGTTTCACTGAGGCTCAGTTTTTATGACAGGCTTCGAAGAACGCCACCTTGGACGAAGTAGGCTGAAGTAAAAATGTCTTTGGGGTACTTACCTTTGCATTTTGGATTAGATGTAAAGGCAGGCTCTTTGAACTGATGCAACCGGATTCAAAACCTAGAGCTTTACCGTCCATTAACTTGTATGATGCTTTTCGAAGAAAGCAAATGGCTAGCGCTTAGCCTGAACATAA